AGAGAGAGAGAGAGAGAGAGAGAGAGAGAGAGAGAGAGAGAGAGAGAGAGAGAGAGAGAGAGAGAGAGAGAGAGAGAGAGAGAGCACCACCACTGTCCCCCTCCTATTGTGTGAGTTGAAATGGAAATACCACCCTACTGCTGGGGCTGCTGCGACGGACTATTCTGATAAAAGCCATAGGCAGATATTGGGCGCCCCTTTCCCCTGCCACCTCCTTTCTTCGCCTTGGTGTGCCGGAACTTAAGGTTTCGGAGATTGGTGGTTCGATTTCCCGTGCCATTACACGTCTCAAGACTCAAATGGCATCACACACACACACACACACACACACACACACACACACACCACACAGCTATGGCTGATTGGCTCTGCATCTCGTGCAGCACCTTCAGCAGCCTTACAGCAGACAGCCATCCAAACTGAATGTCATTGGCTGCTCCAGCCTCCAACACGTACTTGAAGCAGGGGTACGATAAAGTATGGACTGATCCATAGAGCCCATCTGAACTTCCCTAAACCCTATAGCTGGACTTGGCCTGATTGCAGCCCCTGAATTTAGTTCTTGTCACTTTCATGTTGACCTTTGCCTTTGGCACTGGACCCCTAAATAAGAGTTACACTTAAAAAAAAAAGAAAGAAAGAAGGAAAGAACAAAATTAAAAGAAAGATTGAAAGAGAAAAAGACGAGAAAAAGAAAAACAGAAACACACGGTTGCCCACGCCCCCACGTTCCCACACACGAATGCACACACACACGAACACACACACCGACCCACCCACCCACTCACACACACACAATGCTGCAGGATATTTCAATGCCAGTTTCAACAAATTGCCGCCTGAGATCCTGAGGTTACAAAATTGAAATGACTCAACAGGCCAGAGACGGCTAACAAAACGTTTCCAGGTCGTCAGACACATCATCCGTGGTCAAGTCCAAGCGTACTTGCTGTGGCAATAGCATGAATGCATTTGACTGTATTTGTGTCACATTTGATCACGGCAGTCTCATGCATCACTGCATACAAACTGCAGCCCTGAATCCACAATTGGCATTATGAAGACCCAAGGAATGGACAAGATCAGGCAGTGAGGAGAGAGGAGGAAAGGCACTTGGACAAACAGCGAAGCAGGAAAAGGGGGTTTGCCAAAGAGGAAGGGGTCTATGTGAGTCAATGTGACACACACACACCAAAAAAGTCGTGTTTCCATCTTAAAACATGCTGACGCAATCAATGTCGGTTGGAGGTCCTTCGGAGAAGGACACGTGGAGTGCGTTATCACCGTATTCATGTTGACTTGCTGGTGGAATGGAACCAGATTGACGCTCCCCAGAATGGGCAAGGAGCCAGGAGAATGAGGACCTGTTTTAACCAAAAAAACCAAAAAAAAAAAACTTGTTTTCTTTTGGGTGTCAGTAGAAAAACCTAGGGATGAAATAAAACAGATGCCTCTGGCCGCACTCTCAGACTCAGTTCCCAAAAATGGACACATTACAGTTCACCTTCATTATGATAGTCCTGCACTGATGCTCATGGTATGATGATGGAAGGCGGCAAAATTCTCTTCATTAAAGTGAGCAAGAACGGGGAGCCCAGCCCCCCGCCCCCCACAAAAAAAAAAAAAAAAAGAACGGGGAGCCCAGATTTATTGGGTGGCTCCTGGGGAGTGATCTGACTGCCAGAAAAAAAGATTGATAAAAGGTTTCCTAATCAAGGGAGAAACAACAAAGGCGAGAAGACTACGTAGTTGGCCTTCACCTTGTTACCTCACCACACATAGTTGCAGAATGTGGGCGATTGCCACGAAACTGCATCGAGCTTCTCGCTGCTCATCGTACTTTCTCTAGTCGTGAACTATTGAAAGCAGAGTGGCCAAACTGCCAAACCAACAAAGTTGTATCGAGGTTCTGGTACTATGGGCGACTGCCCACTGGTCTGTGACACATCCAACTGCCGGCGAATATTTCTTCTCCACAGACACCGGATGTTGTACCAGCTCCCAAATGCCAAGTATGTTTCTGCAGTGCTTCAGACACTCTTCATGGCACTGACCACCCAAGGCATCATCAGTGCTCAGCGGCTTTTGTACGATTCTTCGACGGGATCCACTGGAAACAATGCCTCCACACTGCAAACCGACGAGCGACCATATGAGGGAGAACCATGGAGTGATGTAAGTCCCATGCAACTGTCTCTCACTGGAGACTGAAATCTTTGCCTTCCCACAAATTTGTGTGCAGAAGGAAGGGAGCATATGCACAACGCGTGTGGGATGGTCCTATACCACCGTGACTCGTACTCGAAGGTCATAAGGTTATAGAACAAAGCAGTGGCACTCCTCAGGTATCACAATCCCACTGAGGTAAGCGCCTATTCAGCACATCTTTTCAGCAAAGTCTTCGAAGTTTGTGACTCTTCACAGTGGCCCTCATCAGGCTTCTCCTGTCAAGGCCGACACCCTATTAATTCTGGCTATTAGGGGATCAAACACGGAAGTTGTGTGACTTGAACCCATAGCCTGAGAGATTGAGTACATTGTTCATCACCGGGGCTAGTAGAGAAAGTAAACACGGACATAGAGTGATTTGAACCCATGTCCACGTGATCAACACCACACTCGATGCAGTGCAAAGTTTCAAATTGACTGCTTCATGCAGAAAGTACCAACTGCCAACTTGTGCCGAATGTGACACATGAAAGACTGGGCAAGTCCAGAGGTGAGAACCAATATCCACAACAAGGAGGGGAAGGTTTCAAAAGATTGAAAAGCTTCAGCTCCTACAGCTTGCTAGGCCGTACGCATTCTTGGCAGGTCATACTAAAAAGCAGCAAGGAGAGATCCTGCTCGTCAGAAAACTCACATGTCATGGCCAATAACAGGCCTCCAAACAAAACTTAAACTGGCAAGCAGTGATGATGGTGATGAGTCTGATGACAACCCCCCTACCTCCTTGGGTATGTCGAGTTTTCATTCAGCTTTCGACTCCCAACCTCAGCTCTCATTACAAATGGCACAAAGTTATCAGGAGTACACACAGAAGAGGTATTTTATTTGTACAACACTTCGTGCCTCCAGGCTCAGGCCTGATTTATCAAAGTGTAGGTACTTGACCTATCAATACTCATTTCCAAGAGGGATTAGATTAACACAATTGCCGAAAGAACGGAGGCGTGCGAGCTTCCGCGAAGGTAGATTGCTTCTCATTTTCCCCAACTCTTGAAGCCGAAGACCAATGTGCAAAGACCCAGACTCAGACCATTGCACTAAAAGACAGACAGCTTCGTTTCTTCAAAAAGCAACTGGCTGAGAAACATAAATCACTGGTTAAGTCCTTTGGGACATCCGTTAAAATTGGAACGATACAGAGAAGATTAGCATGGCCCCTGCGCAAGGATGACACGCATAAATCGAGAAATGGTCTAAAAAACAAAAAAAAAACAAAAAAAAACACTGGTTAAGTGCAGAGTACTCACCTCGCCCCAAGCTCACGTATAATATCAGTCGTTACCATGCTTCGTTTGTGTGATGCAAATGCTGCAGAAGCAGCCCTCCTCAAAAGCAAACTGCCAGCATATGAAGCCATTACTGCTGGGTTTCCCGATAAACTGCAAAATCCCCAAGACGAATCCAAAACAATCAAGGTCTCCAGAAGGGGGATCGTTTTCTGATTCTCTAGTAGGAGGATTGTTTCTCATTCTCAGCCCTTGTCGAATTAATTCTGGATTTTGAAGATTGCACACGCAAAAACCCTAAAACCCTAAAACCCTAAAACCCTAAAACCCTAAGCCTGCAAAAACCTAAAACCCTAAACCCTGAAGCCTAAATTAGATTTGGACAGGGCTGTTTAGGAATCGACTGAAGCGGTTCTTCTCGATCAAGCCTGGAACAGAGTTTCCCCAACACCACCAACATCACTTTTCCACAATACAGCCAAAACTATTCTCTGTTTGAGAGTAATGGAATCAGCGGGACAGGGATGATCCTTTGACAGTACATACGCAAACAAGCACATGATTTATTTCTCCACTGTTTACCAGAGATACTCCTCATTTTATGCACAAAGTTTCCTTGCTTNCTGTTTACCAGAGATACTCCTCATTTTATGCACAAAGTTTCCTTGCTTCTCCCCTCTCTGTTCAATATGCCGCTGGCCACACCTTAGGATGTGCCAAAGACTTTGGCAGTGCTTGATGCAAGTGGCTTCGGTACTATTACCAGCTGGTGTGCTCTTAATCGCTGTATTTCCTGGTGGTGACATGCATTTGTCTTGTCGCTTCCTAGCTCTTGTGAGTCCACTGCGGTCCTCACTGTATGCGTGGGTTGCTGTGTTGGGGTTATCACATGACTGCCCATGAAGGTTAAGCTGCAGAATGAAATGCCCCGAACTGCAGACGCGGTCTACAATCAAGTATTATTCGGGAAACAATGGGCGATCCTGGGGGTCTACAAAATTGGCCATCTATGGAACGAGGAATCGAAGGACTGGAAGTCAGAAGCTGAAATGGTGGAAGCTCTCCCATGGCAAGTCAACAGGACAAGGCGCCTCCAAAGTCTGCGAGACGCTATTGCACCGCAATGGATAACTCTGCTGAAGAATGATGAGCTAAAAAAGGGGAATGGGTGAGACTGCAAGGAGACAGCCGCGCAGCAGTGATATTCCAAGTGGAACAGGATCAGCAAGGCGACCAGCTCTCCCTAATGGAATGGAAGGTGAATGAGGGATATGAGGGTTTGGGGGAACCCACGGTGGGGACCGGTGATACAAGTTCGGTTGAGCAATGTATTTGGAGCCAAGGATCCGCGAAATGATGAAAAGGACTCGAATGGACAATGCAGTGTCAGCAAAGCATCAACAAACAATGTACATCCAGATCATACTTGCAAGCGCACCTCGTGTGGGCGGTTCCTGACGTGCGGCACACGGGCCCAACCCATCCCGTGCGGCGCACGACGTGTGCGGGGAACGACCCGTCACCCCCCTCCGAAAAAAAAAAAAAGAAGGTCGGGGGTCAAAACGGTGCGTTCGAGGCCCCCCGCCAATTTTTTTTTTTTTTTTTCTTAGTTGAAACAGGTCCTTATGGTCCTGGCTCCATATCCATTCTGGGGAGCGTCAGTCCGGTTCCTTTCCACCGGCAAGTCAAATATGAAATACATGGTGAACACTCTCACGCTTCCTTCCGTCTGGCTGAAGGAACCCTGACCAGCATTGGTTGCTCCGTATCCCGAGGATTGACTGTCAGCTTGCCCTACCACTTTTCCTCTCAGGATATATTGAGATTCTGTCAAATGATTCGTATGAAGCGAGAAAAGAGGAGAGTCGTCTATACTGTTGAGATTAAAATTTCAGTTTCCCCATCATTGGGTCACCGTCCTTGTTGGAGTTGTGCTGTGCCATTTCTTCCAAATCAATCTGTTATCCGTCACAGTTGCGACCTTTCCCTGTAGAAGCCAGTTCCTCATGAAGACCCGTCTCTTGAGAGCTAACCTTTCTGGTCTGCCTTTCGTTGTTGCTGTCACCTCCCTCCACCTGGATCGAATCTCAGTTTCGACCATTCCCAGCAATAGCACCCACATTTCTTCTCTTGCCACCTCAGTTCCTTCGGTCGTCTTGGTACATCTCCTTTTCCAGATTACCCATAGGGCCAGCTTCCTGAGCAAGTGAAACCAGACTTCCCTGCCGCCTTTGAGATTGTTAGTATTGTTGGAGAGGAGCAGGATGTTCAGGGGAGTTGTAGGCGGAGGGGGTGATGAGAAGAGGTGGGACCATAGGCCTCGCACCTTGTTCCATATCCATGCTGCTTCCGTGCAGTACAGTAGACAGTGGGGTATATCTTCTGGGGTGCCGTCTTTGCATAGCCTGCAAAGCTCGGAGCTGCCAGGGTCCGTATGTCTCCTCCTCTTGCGGAGCCATTGACTGACAGGCAGCGATGCGTGCGCTAAGAGCCACTGCATGCTCCGAATCCTAACCGGTCTAATGGGCAGGTACTTTATCCATGGGATGGAGATGGGGACTGTGGGGTCCAGATTCAGGATCTCTCTCCACTTTCCTTTGAGTCTGGGGTCCGGATCTCTGGTTTGCAGTCCCAGCTCGTAGCCGAATTTGACATCGTACTCGAATATCGTTCTTGTTTTCCCAGATTTGCCCTGCTTCCAGACCCACTTTTTCGGGTCGAATTCGAGGTCTGTGAAAGGGCCTTTTTCACCCAATGTAGGCCTCAGGCCTTGTAACTAAGCAACGTGGGCCATGTAAAAGCAAAGCAGCCTGAAAAGGTATCTCGCCAGGGCTCAGAAACGTGAAAAGCAGGTCAAGAGTCCAAGTTCTCTACCAACGGGCACATCCTGAAGCAAAGGGCATTGTCAAAAGACTTACCTGTTCGCCAGCAGTTGTGTAGGTCATGAATAAGGTGTGTCTGTACGATCAGCCATTGTGCCTGTTCGTGAACAGAGGAAAGGTTGTGTCTGTATGTACAAAGCTGATGTCTGTTCGGACAGTAAGTGTGTCTGTTCGTCTAAGATGTGACCTTTCAAAAGGAAGTCAACAGTTATGTCCCAGTGGCTGGTCTGAGTCGTAGGGGCAGTCTAGATCCAGACTTCAAAATTCGTATCCAGGCCAAAGGGCCTCCACAGCAGTTGCTTTTCATTGGGAATGCTCTGGGACANTTCACCCAATGTAGGCCTCAGGCCTTGTAACTAAGCAACGTGGGCCATGTAAAAGCAAAGCAGCCTGAAAAGGTATCTCGCCAGGGCTCAGAAACGTGAAAAGCAGGTCAAGAGTCCAAGTTCTCTACCAACGGGCACATCCTGAAGCAAAGGGCATTGTCAAAAGACTTACCTGTTCGCCAGCAGTTGTGTAGGTCATGAATAAGGTGTGTCTGTACGATCAGCCATTGTGCCTGTTCGTGAACAGAGGAAAGGTTGTGTCTGTATGTACAAAGCTGATGTCTGTTCGGACAGTAAGTGTGTCTGTTCGTCTAAGATGTGACCTTTCAAAAGGAAGTCAACAGTTATGTCCCAGTGGCTGGTCTGAGTCGTAGGGGCAGTCYAGATCCAGACTTCAAAATTCGTATCCAGGCCAAAGGGCCTCCACAGCAGTTGCTTTTCATTGGGAATGCTCTGGGACACATGCAATGCAGGGTCTGGGACAAGAGGACAGGCCGAATTGAGACAATGCAGACCCAACGGGGAGAGGCCAGCACTACTTAAGGAGCTGCCARCCTCATTCCACGCAGATCTCCTCTGGCATTCAATACGTGGAAGTGCTGGTGCACTTGTGCGTTAGTCAGGCAGAAACAGCGCTGGAGGAAGGAGATGCGCTAAAGGAGGAGAGAAGGCTGGGCGCTGGAGGGAAGCAGCCATCGCTGCCCAGCAGATTAGTGTAGACTTAGCAGGGTTAGTGTAGATAGCTATGAGTGACATTCAGAGTAGATCCTCGTGAGAGAAGAGTGTGTATGCATCGTGAGAGGAAGGGACTGAGACAGAGAGAGTGTTCTTTCAAGGTCTGGTTATGGAGGACACTTACCTGAGCTAGAAGCAAGTGACGAAGGTRGCATTGATGTATCTGATGTGGGATTRGTATTGCGCTGAAGCGCGTTGACTCARGAAACTGTGAACTCATTGTAATCATAATTTTTGATAATATAAGTGACGGGTCTTGGTCCTATTCTTATCTACCTTTGTCTCGTGTGTGGCAACTGTGTCCATTGAGTATGAAGACGATGTTTGATGTATGCACATCTGCGTGAGTTGGTCCCCAGGACCCATGCATCTGAAATGCTGAGTTCCGGTTGGAAGATTCTCCACTGTTTGAACTTAGATACCCTCACTTTTCTCAGTCAGAAGGTTTCGAGTGTGTCGCAGTGGGGGTCTTTGTTCTCGATTTCCAGCGCTTGTGGCCTGTGGTTAGCTATGGGGTATGAGTAGAATTTAGATAGGTAGCCGAGTAGGTTGGTTCGAGAGACGAATCGATATGCTCTGGTGGGTCGGGTTTGGGAGATGAGTAAGCCCCAGTCCCCGAACTTCCATGAGAAGTCTTCCCTTAGGAGGGAAAGCCATTGTGGTGGGATACTCTTCTGGATCAGCATTAGGTTATCAGCGAGGGAGTGGCAGCCTTTTAAGACCTTGCGTAGTTCGTGTTCAGTAGCCGATCGTCCTTGGTCCTCCGCCCAAATGTGTTTGACCTGCCATTCGCCTTTTTCTACCGAAGATTGCCATCTTCGATCTTTTGAGCGTAGCGTCCATGTTGCTCCACAAGGGTCGGTGATCCAGGGGTTGCAGAAGAGAGGTTGTCTGAGGACCTCTTCTCTGTTCCCTGGTGCGCTGTGTTTAATTGGCATCATTCTGCGTCAGGCTTTGATGGTAGGGCTCCAGTATGAGATAGTTGTCTGAGTGGGGGTTGTGATAGGCTCGGCAGGGTTTCTCCTACGCAGTCTGCCTGATTTGATTGTCCAATCCTTTGCCATGAGCCAGTAGAGCCCCTGCATATTCGGGGGGGAGCTGACGGGTGCCAGGTTTCGGATGCTGTCTAGCGTCATCTGGGTCCATGGGAGGAACTGTCTGGTCAGGATCTTGATGATCCATTTCATCTGCAGTGCCATGGCCTCCTGTT